ATTGGCTTATTTAACTCTAGCGTCCTTTGCTGCTGGTGCCAGCTCTGACTCCATGCACTCTGATGCTCTGGGATGGCAAGTCAGCAACCTTTTGGTTGCGATCTAAGCTTGCTGACCCACCATCCCAGAGCATGGGGTCATGGTTGAGCACCCCTGTTGTAAAATATGAAACGGAACATCCCTTGGTAATGAGCATGTTTGGCTGCCACAGGCACAAATTGCAAACTTATATAAAAAAAAAAAGTGTTTTTAAAAATGTGTTTAATGTGACCAGTGTTTATGTAAACATATAACCTGCTATTGTTAAAATGCTAGTTACCTGGCTGCATTGTATCTCAATACATTCTGAGTCGTAGGCATCTGAAGTCCAAACTTATGATTTCAACACCTTTTTTAGGTTAGTGACTCTAAATCTTTTAAGGCCTCATGTACTACAGGGTTTGCTCAGCTCATCTGAACGCCTTTTCTCCTAGCAGGAGAAAAGCTGCTTAAAAAATGTGAAAGCAGCATATTGCACACGCGTTTGTGTGTTAATGCATTGCGCTGGTCAGAACTTAAATTTTTTGTCTGGCAATTAGAATGCGTTAATGTGCAAACGTACCTAGACGCGTCTAGTGTTTATGCGTGTTCCACATTTGTCTGCCCAAGGACTCTTCTCCTGAACATGCTAGTGATGTGTTTTTTGTTTTTTATCCCCTGCATGTAAACACTCTGCTTCTAATAGCCTGTAAACATCTGTGTGCAAGGACACATTGGTTAACATGGAGGTGTGTTTACAAGCAGGGGGAAACAAAAAACCCACCAAATATCTGTAAAAGTGGTATTTTTAAGCCCAGCGTGCTCAAGGCTTTACATATGGATCCATATGAGAGATATGCATCGAGCATTTTCAGCTCAGGGCAGCAATGACAGCCTTCACGTTTCATTGCAGGTTTAGTTTTCTTAGATTTATACATAAGAATTTTTTTTAGCCAATTTATTTTTTCCCATTGAAAATAACCCCCGCCCCCATTCCCAAATCTTTTATTTACAAAGAGGCCTTTGTAAATATAGAATTCCCTTACTCTTGCTGGCTTAGTTAGGGATGGATACTGCTCACGGGCTGCAGCTCTGCCTTGCAGTCCTATACATGTGCACACAGCCTCCTGTACCTACCATGGATCATTGAGCATAAATACCTCCTTCAAAACAAACCTAACATTCATTCACATGATGTGATCATAGTCATATGAGTCCAGGTTCAATAAATCCACTGAGCGCACAATAGTAGGCAGGAATGCTACTCTCTTCACCCCAGGGATTGACCGTCTGTCTAATGACGAGATAGTGGATCTTTCACACAGTCATAGACTCTGAGGCAGGAAAGGCAAGAAGACAACGCACTAATGTAATGCCCAACAATGACTACTTTATTGAAAGAGATATCCACTCATAGATGTGAAGCTGTCCTCCCTTATTTGCTTGATTGAGTCCTCAAAACGCGTTGCCTAGGAAACTGCACCTGGAATTAGAAGCTTTGCTGGCGGGTAAAGCTGCTACTGAGCAACAAAAATGCTTTAATTTTCCATTCCTGTGAGGGTTTTTGTTCAATCAGCACCAGCCACTGCATTCCTCACCTCTTGCCACAGAAAACGGGAGGACACATTCACATTCATTTGGCTAGCTCTCAACACTACTTCCAAGTTTTTAGTATGAGTGAGTATTGCTTTTAATAATAATTGTCATTACATTGATGCACTCTTGTGGGTGTGTTAAAGATCTACTATACCTTCATAAGTAACCTGTCAGCCCGTGGAGTGAAGAGTACCACTGTGCCTTCTAGTTTGTTCTCAGTGGACGTATGGAACCTGGACTTACAGGACTACGATAACATCTTATGAATCTGTTAGGTTTGTTATGAAGGAGGCATTTGCACTTATTTCAAATGTCTTTTGGCTTGTTTTTTCTAATCTAGTTCCCTCTGGTATATTGGAGCTGGCAGCAGCTCTTCTGTTAGGTTGACTCTTACACATTTTTGTATCCCAAGGAACTGTTCATTTTTTCATGTGTTGAAGATAGGAGACTGGTGTCTAGAAAATCTACTAGTCTAGTGTGCAGATCCAAAGAATGGTGGGTGGTGACATGTGAGAACACTCCGCCATTGGGTAGGGCAGGCAGTGTAATGTAGGATTATTGGGTTATGGAGTGAGGAGGGTTTAGAGGAGGAATGATGGGTTCCCAAAACAAAATTAATCTAAACTTTAACTGCCAAAAGTGCACCTGCCACACTACTTAGGAATGCAGTTAAAATGATTGTAGACCCATATTTAAGGGGAATAACAAACATGTTATACTTACCTTCTCTGTGCAATGGTTTTGCACAGATCAGCTCCAATCCATAGATACACAAAGCAAAGCTTGGACTTGCTCCCTACTCACTGGCTGTGATAGACAGCAGCGGGAGCCAATGGCTGCTGCTGTCTACACAGTACTGGATCACGATCTGGGGTATGGGGGGGGGGGGGGGGGGGGGGGGGGGGGCTACACTCAGAAGGTTTGTCACCTTAATGCAGAGAAGTCATAAAGGTAAAAAAAAACTTTCAGCCTTTAGAATCACTTGTCTTGTACGAATGTTGCTGAAGTTATATGTGGCCACTTCTTGTACAGTCAGATGCTGGCCATTTGTTTGTTTTTTTTCCAGTTTTATTGTTGCACATAAAAATATTAAGGTTGTATTTTTTCTGTGGATGGCACACATTTATTGTTCTAAGGCAGTGATCTCCAAACGTTTCAGTACGATGGACACATTGTACATTTTGCAAATAATCGGGACTCAAAAAAAAAATCCCCATCACATCAGGGTCCCCATTAGAATCTTGCCTTAAATCATTTTCCCTCTTACATCTGAAATGGAGACCATAGGCAGCCTCTGTGGACCTTAATCCTTAGCCAGTGCACATTGAAGATACACCACTGACCCTAATTGGCCCGTAGTTTGGAGACCCCTGTTCTAAGGAAATGTTTGTTTTTGCTTGCCCTAATAATTTCATCTGTGTATTTTCATAGCATGTATATTTGGAACACCAAAGAAAGATTACTGTAACGTAAGTTCCCTGACTGTTGCACATACAACTGTGTGTTTTAGATCTGCCTTTAATTGTGAATGAAACTGCAAAGTAGTTTTACAGGTGAGATGATCTGAGAACAATGACACATTGACTGTAGAGAGGTGTAACGTACACGGGATGACAGTAAATATTTTATAAGAGATAAACCAGTGCTGATTAGTTGTGCCATTCAGACAAGTAGAGACGGACACAGCACATGGTTTTTATAATTTGTAGTTTACATTATCCTGGATGTTGGAATTGCATAGGGAAAGGGTTACTTTAAAGGGGTTTACTTTACTTTAAAGAAAATGCAGAGTTCATTTGGTAGGGTTCGCTCTGTGCAGGGACACACAGTGGAGTTCCATCTTCCACAGCCCCCTGCCAAACAGCAAGGACCTTGTCGAATTTTCCTTAAAATACCCTGCAAGTTTACAAGAGAATGGATTTTGGTCATACAGGTCCATCAACAATTAGACTGTGTTTATACATTGTGCCTATTAGAGAGCACTGTCCTTTTGCTTTCCATGGAAGTCAGCATTGTTTGAAAAATTTGGTCTTGTTCTGCTGTTTTAGTCCTGATGCACAGATCCTGGAAAACAGCAGTTCAAAGTCCATAGTTTTATTTATTTTGAGACTCCAATTATGAAAAGCTACTTTGCAGTTATTCTACAGTATTCTAAGTACTTGTTAAATAGCTTGTTTAAGCCATTCTCCTTGGCTTCTCCCTTTGCTGCAGCTAAAATCCTCACCTGGTAAGACATAGAAATATGGTGGATTATGTAACCAGAGCTGTGTGTATATTTGAAGGTCAACTCTGGCCTTCCTTTCAGTCTTGCGCAGATGTGCAGACTTCTCTCCTGTACTGAAATTGCTCACTTTGATTTCACTGCACAACTAGCTTCTCACAGTGTCCACTGTAAAGCTGCAGCAAGTCAGATAAAGCATGCCTCGTTCCTGGAGGATATCCAGCATCATCCAGAGCTTTTTTTTTTCCCGACCTGACTATCCTCGGCTATCACTTTTATTCATTGTATTTCAGTTCTGTCAGTCATGAGGCTCAGCATCACATGTGGGAATGCCTGCTCTTCCAGACTTACTTAGCAAGATATTTTGATATATGCATATCTCCTCCCAAGAGCCAGCTCAAGACTTACATTTAGGCTGGGGATTTTAAGAAATTTGCTCAGAGAGAGTGTGATGATGTTTTCAGGTAGTTATGTACAGCTCCCTGCAGCCCCTCCCACCAGCTCTGAACTGCATATATTGCATAGAGAAGAACACAAACACAATGATATCACTAAAGTATCTAAAAATGTCTTTAGCATGTCCAATTGGTGGGGAAGGACAAAATATAGGCTAAATAAACTTCAGTACGTTTTACTTCATGATAATATACCATACCCTATAGACATCACATTTTTTTTCTTATAGTTTTCTATCTAATTTTTAACAGTTAAAGTAACTGTAGTAAAATCATGTATAAATATTTCATTTATTTAATCTATTGTCCCACCACATTTTACATAATGTATTTTCCGGCGTATAAGACGACTTTTCAACCCCTGAAAATCTTCTGAAAAGTCGGGGGTCGTCTTATACACCGGTGCGAGCCGGTGTCAGGGCGGCACTTTTTCGAGGGGCGGCGCGGCGCCGCCCCCCCCCTCCTCCTCTAGCGGACACTAAGTACAGGTGTGGACAGAGGGGCTGCTGTACCTTACCTGGCTCCGGTCCCACGACGATCCGGTCCAGGAAGCGCGGCTGCTCCTTCTTTCAGTTCGGCAGCGCGATGGTCACGCGGCCGCTCGGCTCCGCCTCCTCACTGGTGATTGGGCGCCAGCACTGGAAAGGCACACAGGCGACCAATCACCGGCGAGGAGGCGGAGCCGAGCGGCCCCGCGAAAATCGAGCGGCCACACTGGAAGAAGGAGCAGCCACTCCTCTCCCCCACTGATACTAACGATGGGGCTCTATTCCTCCTCCACACTGACACCAACGATGAGGCACTGTTCCTCTCCCACTGACACCAACGATGAGGCACTGTTCCTCCCCCACTGACACCAACGATGAGGCACTGTTCCTCCCCCACTGACACCAACGATGAGGCACTGTTCCTCCCCCACTGACACCAACGATGAGGCACTGTTCCTCCCCCACTGACACCAACGATGGGCACTGTTCCTCCCCCCACTGACACCAACGATGAGGCACTGTTCCTCCCCCCACTGACACCATGATAGGGCACTATTCCTCCTCCCCACTGATACCAACGATGGGGCACTATTCCTCCTCCCCACTGACACCAACGATGGGCACTATTCCTCCCACTGATACCAATGATGGGGCACTATTCCTCCCACTGATACCAATGATGGGGCACTATTCTCTCCCACTGATACCAATGATGGGGCACTATTCCTCCACTGATACCAATGATGGAGCACTATTCCTCCCACTGACACCAACGATGGAGCACTATTCCTCCCACTGATACCAATGATGGGGCACTATTCCTCCCACTGATACCAACGATGGGGCACTATTCCTCCCACTGATACCAACAATGGGGCACTATTCCTGCCACTGATACCAACGATGGGGCACTATTCCTCCCACTGACACCAATGATGGGGCACTATTCCTCCCACTGACACCAATGATGGGGCACTATTCTCCCCACTGACACCAATGATGGGGCACTATTCTTCCCCCACTGACACCAATGATGGGGCACTATTCTCCCCACTGATACCAATGATGGGGCGCTATTCCTCCGACTGACACCAATGATGGGGCGCAATTCTTGCCACTGATACCAATGATGGGCGCTATTCCTCCCACTGACACCAATGATGGGGTGCTATTCTCTTGCCACTGATACCAATGATGGGGCGCTATTCTCCCACTGATACCAATGATGGGGCACTATTCCTCCACTGACACCAATAATGGGGGAACTATTCCTCCCACTGACACCAATGATGGGGACACTATTCCTCCCACTGACACCAATGATGGGGGCACGATTCTTCCCACTGACACCAATGATGGGGAACTATTCTCCCACTGACACCAATGATGGGGCACTATTCTTCCCACTGACACCAATGATGGGGCACGATTCTTCCCACTGACACCAATGATGGGACATTATTCCTTCCCACTGACAATGATGGGGCACGATTCTTCCCACTGACACCAATGATGGGGCACTATTCCTCCCACTGACTAATGATGGGGCACTATTCCTCCCACTGCTAATGATGGGGCACTATTTCATCCACTGACACCAATGATTGGGCACTATGCCTCACACACTGACACTAATGATGGGGCACCATCATTGGTGTCAGTGGGAGGAATAGTGTCCCATCATTGGTATCAGTGGGAGGAATAGTGCCCCATCATTGGTGTCAGTGGATGAAATAGTGCCCCATCATTGGTGTCAGTGGGAGGAGTAGTGCCTCATCATTGGTGTCAGTGGGAGGAATAGCACCCCATCATTGGAATACCATACTGAAATAGCATACCATATTGAAATTAAATCTGATGTTTTTTCATTTTTATTTGGTGTGCGTTGGAAGAGGGGTAGTCTTATACGGCGAGTATAGCTCAAACCCTATATTTTAACAGGAAAAGTAGGGGGTCGTCTTATACGCCCAGTCGTCTTATACGCCGGCAAATACGGTACCTTTCACATTTTGTTCTAATATAAACTCATTATGGATGTGGTAATAATGACACCCTTAAACCCTTTGCTGTGAAAGAACCAAAATATTTTTTCCCTATGGTTTGGCTTTTTAAGCACTTCTAAATTGCGTTATACATTTTGCATCATTATAACTGTCTCTGTTGGCCATGATACAGTAATTAACCTTACAATGCCTGAACAAATGGCTTGCCGTTTTGACGTGCTGGAGTTACATAATCCACCATACTCAAGTATGATTATGTCTGTTGAGTTTCTCTGCAGCATTTGAGATCAGAGTTGTTTAGCTCTCTTCAGGAAAGCAAGTTGATTCTTTCAAATTTTCTTGTAAATTATAGTTTGGGCACTTTATTTGTTAAAGATTGAATACAAATATCAGTCACACATGCACAAAACTAGTTGGCATGTAATTGCTAGATATTGTATATGTCAGTACAATAAAATAAGCATTGACATCTTACCTGATGGGGTGAAGGAGGAGACCAGAGCAGTACGAGCCTGTGCTCCTTCACACCAGCCATAAGTTTCCAGAGTCAAACGTTATTTAAGTACTTAATCTTCCTAGAATTAATTGCAAGGAAATGTCAAATGAGTTGGATGGAAATTACCCTGATATTAATATGTTTGGATTGATAAGCATCAAGCGTATCCTGATTAAATTGTCACAAATTAGTTGCTTCATAAAGGAGCAAGAGGGACTGCAGTTTCTTGAGACTTGGAATACCCAGAAGGCAGAAAATGGAACAGATTGTATTGTTCTTAACAAATACGTATTTTTTTAAAAAATGCCACAGTGATCCAAGATTTTTTTCATAAACACATGCTGTAAAATGGATTCTAAACACAGTTTGACAAACCCAAAGAGGCGAGTTACCACATAAATTAGAGCTACAACCTAATGATGTTGATCCTAAATGTCTTGTCCTGGTCCTTTTCAGACTATTGTAGCAGAGGTAGATCTGCTTCTGTGATTCATTGAACACCTCTGTCTTCATGCCCGTCAAATACATGGGTGCTGCTAAAGCAGTGGTTGATGCAAGTGGATGGCATCTATTTGTATCCAACTCTGTTCTGTGGTACCAGTGAATACTGTGAGCTTGCTTGCATTTGTATTCAGTCAACTGAGGAAACAGCACTGTGGAGCACAGTTCCTCTTGCTTCGAAAAGAGTCTGGTGCAGCTGGGGCTGTGTATGCAAAATCTAAAGATTCCGTCTAGTGGTTGGATGAATAGCTGGATTTTGAATTCCTAAATGCCTGGTAAATCATTGACTATTGTGGTTCTAACTCATTTTACAGTTCCTTGTTTAAATCACATTCTACCATATCTATTCTTGGACATTAAATAGACTACTATGCAATGGCTATTTTGTTTTAAAGTGTTCCTAAACCCACAACTGTAAAATCAGTCTGTATATGCAGTAAAGCATGCTTGTTATACTCACTGTGGAACCTAAGGGGTTAATCCTCTGGATTGTGTAAAAAGGCTGTTTGATCCAGACTTGTTCAAATGTCCACGTCTTATCTCCTGATAAGACAGACTGAACCGTAGCCATTCTGCACATGCTCAATTTATTGTGTGTTGCTAGAGAGGTATTTTTTTTTCTTGGGAGAGTGCATGTGATCAGCACAGGGCCAATCGCACTGTCCAGACAGAGGTCAGGGGTTATGCATCCTCCTAGAGCAGACAGAAGCTCTTACAAGCTTTAACCAGTGCTCTGCTCAACACTGATAGAAGTCACAAGACTGCTCCAACTGCTGATGAGAAAAGGTATTTAGCAGTTTATATTTAGTAAAATAATTGCACTTCCATGTTCCGTGTACTGTGGGAGACCAGATATAATGAATGCAGGGTCTTGGGTTTAGTAACACTTTAAGTATCAGTCTAGGTATGCGTTAATGCTACATCAATGGCACATGAACGGCTTATTTTTTTATTCTCTAGTGAAGATCAAATTCTTGACTTAAAATACATGCTTCTCAAATATTTCTTTACAAAGCATCCTAGGTAGCCCGACAAAGAAGCAGGGTTAAAAATTTTGCAATTGATCAATGAGAACATTGGGTCAGAATTTGTTTATGGTTCCCAGTACTAAGCTACAGTTTTTCAGTTGTTGGATGTACTGGGTAGTGTAAAAGCATTTTGAAAGGCACAAGACACAGGGGCTGTAGTCAAACCAAGGATTATATGCCACTACCTTCAGGTTGTTGGACACTGGCAAACATTTTGTTGGGAGTGCCCCACCAGTGTACCCTCATATAACCCCACCCGCTCCATAGAACTCTGTTTCTTTGCTAGTATCCTTAAGTGATGGATTATTTTTCCTCTAGACAAGTTTCTACACCAAACTGTTTTTTTATTTTTTTTCTACTTCGACTGACATTTCTATCAAGTTCCAACTACTTAGCAGTTTCCAGATTGGTAGCCCTCCATGTATATCTTGGGAACTGTACTCAGACCCCGCATTTGCTTCAGTGTAAACAAGCTCCTGTGGGCACAAAGTCTAAAAATACCTTTCCTCTGCATGCACAGCTTAATGCTTTGCATGATGAGGGTTAGGGACTGATGTGAATGTACAAAATGTGTTGTGTGTGTGTAAAGTGCTGTGTAAATTGACAGCACTATAGAAGTACCTGAAATAAATACATGAGTATTGGCCAGATGCTGTCAAAGTATTTATTCCTTCAAAAATCTGCTGAGTGATATCCTATGGAAAGGGAATTTATTAAATAAATGGTCAGTTCCAGTAATGTATTTTACTGACAAGTCAAAATTCCCATTATTTGTTCTGGATAAAGTATGGAGATGTTAGAACCTCTGACAGTTTTTTCTATTGTCTTTTTTGGGTAGATATCCCCCTGCTTATTGATATGACAGGAAATTACTACAAATCTTGTGTCCTGTACTGTACACCAAGATATGGAATTCACAGCTGAAAATTCCCATATTTTTTGCATTCTTCCTAAAAGTCTTTTGCTGTAACACAGGAAGTTTTAAATCTTCAGGCTATACTGTTGCCTATTGGGGGCTTGGCTGCTGGTTAACAAAAACTGTAGACCAGCCCAGGCTTTAACACCTCCCACTATCAGCATGCCTTTGGTTGTGGAACAAAGTAGTACTGAAAGCATGATCATAAACAAAAGGGTGGAGACAAAAGGGTGGAGTCCTCCGAGGGCTCCAAATACAGAGTTTTATAGTGAGTACAAAAATTCTATTTTTTTTTCTCGCTCCTTTGAGGGACACCATAAATCATAAACCTTCAGGATGTGCAGAAGTGGCCCAACTGAGGGTGGTAAACATAGCAAACAATCGCTAACGCCCAGTGTGAACAGGAATTCTGGATACTGCCTGCAACTTACTAACTTGCCTGAAGGAAATTACACCAAAGCTTGCATCAGATGAAGCTGAAACGTCCACCTGGTGGAGCTTTGTGAACATGTAAAAAAAACCAATGCGTCAGCCTTACAAATCTCGGAAATTGTTGCCTGATGCTGAAAAGCCCAGGAGGAACTTTACAGATCTGGTAGAATGAGCTTTAGCAGGATAGGGGGCAACCTCGATCCTTCAGACCAAAGATTAAATGATCATGTGTACCTGAGCCCCCTTAAATCATAAACCAAGGTGTGGGTCTTTCCAGGGCCAATTTGGAATGACAAAAAGGTAGGCTTTCTGAAAGAAGCAGTAGCTGAGAGATTCGCACAGTCCGAACCACATCCAGACAGTGGAGGGAAATTTTCTTTTGATTAACCAGAGCTGGACAAAGGGA